TATATTTTAATTATCAAAACAATATTCAAGCATTCCTTCATTTAAACATTGTATCACTATTTTTGTATTAAAAAAACAGGGTTTCAACATGTTTTTTTTTTAGTCTTGCTTTATACCTGTTGTTCAAATTATTCGTATATTTCACAAAAATTTTGTAAATCTTTTGTTAATATAAACGAAACGGTTTTGATATTATTGAATGAAGACTTTTTGAGGTTATGACTTTATATGAATAAGGTACTATATAATTTATATATATATATAGTTATAAAATAATAAATAATATAACTTTTATATAATATTGGTATTCTGTTTATGTGATACAAATATCAGTATTTCTTTCCACCTAGAAGCAATATACTTTAAATAACTTAATTCAAGAATGAGTAACTTTAAAGTAATACTTAATCTGTTCTTTAGCTTTTTAAATTAGCATATCAACGTGAGTTATTGTTTATCTTTTTAAACTTCCAATTTAATAGTATAAGTCTTTGGGCAGATTTAAATTTGAAACAAGGATATCATAACCCGTTTTTAAACTTAATTTTAAAACCCTGTTTATGTATGCAATAAAAGTTTCATTGGGTGCACACAAACCGTCCGGTATAGCTTTGATGCTTTGTGAAATATTTTTATTCAAGATAACGAAATTAGTGGAGTTTTTCTTTATCGTTTATTATGGCAAAATGGAAATTTAGCGTTTGAAATGTTTAGCTAACTGTTTGAAAGTTTCCGTTTTAAGGCTTTTTAGATTGTGCTGATATGTTTTTACTTTACGTTGTTTACTTATAAATTATGTTTATTTGACGAACCTAAGTATGAAATAAAAATATTTTAAGTAGTTGAGTTTCATATTAATTAAAAGTGAAATTTCATTTAAATAGTATTAGATAATAGTTAAAATCCATTTTACTGCTGATCGTATAATAATATATTTTAATTCAACAACTTTTATGGAATGATCTGTAAAGCTATTCAACTCTCTCTCTCTGTATGTACCTATGTATGTATGTATATATATATATATATATATATATATATATATATATATATATATATATATATATATATGTATATATATATATATATATAAAGATATATAGATATATATATATATATAAAGATATATATATTATATATATATATATATAAGATAGATAAAATATACCGATCGAGTTGTGTCATCTGTCTTAAAAAGTTTTTGTTTTGTTTTTAATCTATGATATATTTCATTTTGAAAACCTAATGTTTTTAAAGCTAAAGCTGTGTTGTCTTTCTTAGTAAACTTATAGTGAAAAGATGTTTATGTAAATCTAAATGCTACTTTTATAATTTTAGTTACTGTTTTTATTTGCGCCAAAACTAATGGATTATATTCACTTTCATTACGTTGACTGTTATTTTAATGAAAACTTATAATATATTTTAAATCAATCTAAATTTAAATCAATTCTGCCAATATAAAACTAAAATATTCTATCAGTTGTATTTATCTTAACGAACGAAATAATTATTTAAGTTTAAATTTGTCTGTACATTTTCCAAATGCATCTGATTATTATAAATTTTGAATTTATAAAAATCAAAGCTATTTTATTCATAAATATTTAAATAATTTCCGTCATGCCGAAATGAATCTTTCTATTTAAATGATTGTCTTTTTTAATGTAAAATACTTCCTTTGCTCTCAAATGAATTTTAAATTTTTTTAATCAACAAATTGACACGCAGTCATTATAAAAAATTACTATTATTACAAATGATGAGACATAAAGAGAAAATTGCATAGGAAATGATGGATAAAGAAACTCTAGACGCAGAGCGATGGTAACCTTGACAAAAATACCGGTCTTGCCAGTGGATTGGAACATGAATAAAAACATGAGAATGTCTGCTTCTTCAATGCATGATTCCGGAAACTCTACTTGTAGCAGGATGCGACATCATAGAATTTGTTTTCAATGAAGTTTTTCTGAATACTGTTTCGTCGAAGTCAGTGATTTTATGACAACGCTTCAGGATTTGGATCTCATAAAATAAGTGAGTTTGGAGAGCGAAGTCTTGAGAATGACTCAGCTGTTTAGTTGTTAATATTTGAATTAATCGGCTTTCTAAAGTCACTATCTTTTTATCTTTTTGTAAGATATGATTATTATTTATACAAATATTGTAAACATTTAATTTTTGTTTTTGTTTTGAGTAGATTAATTTAAATACCTAAATATTCAGAGTGCTAATTCTGTATTAAAATTACAGTTCAGCAATACAGTTGCTGTACTTAAATCAGGATTCTAATGCTATAAAGGTATTTTGCACTAATACTCTTTTTTATACATAAAAAAGGAAAATGTAAATTTTTAACGTTTGTATTAAGCTTTGGCCCAAATACATACATTATTAATTATTGATTTTTCGACATAATTATTTATATTTAATAACGTTACAATGTTGAAGCATAACAGCAATGTATTTAAAGCAAACCCAATATATATCCCAATACAAACACAATATATCTAGTTTATTTTTTTAAATGCCCGACTCGGCTCAGTGGCAACGTAACCGCTGGCGAGCTTTAGGGCCGAGATTTAATCCGCTGTGTGATTTGTTGTAGACATTGATTCAGAAAGAGGGTGACTCGATGGCGTTTGTGATGGTCAGCATCTCGTTAGTCAGACTATCTGATGGGAATTTTCCGGGTTTTCACCCATACGATTCTCAAATGCGGGGCAGTTTCCCCTACAAGTCCTCCCATAAGACACTGCCTTCCTTTTTTTCAGCGGTAAGGAGCCAAGTCAGATTTCTACTTGTGTGTACCGAATTACAACAGAAGCTGCTCCTTTCCCTCCATCCATGAATAGATTATTCATGGGATGTATGTTTCGCAGGGTAGGACACTGAGGATTAGACGCATTAATTTTTTACATATGTCATCATATTTTTAAACTGCAGTATTTATTTATTAAAGTTCTAAATTACATGAAATATTTAAAAATAAACAATAAATTGAGAATAATTATTTACTGTAGCAGTATTTTTCTTACAGGCCAACTATATGTTCCGTATGATTAAAATCTTGTTTCAATGGGAATAACAGTAACTAATAGTAATAATATTCATTTTATAACAAAGTATTTATTCTATGTTACATTATTTGATTAATTAAATACCATGGGAGTTGTTTACAGTTAATTGTTTAATAATTTGATTCAAACATTTAGTTACTTAATTATAAAATGCATCTGTACATCTGCAAAAGCCTGATTCATTGCTTAGTGCTTTTCAAAAATGAGGCGACTCAATGGTGTTTGTGATGCCTATCTTGTCTCATAGTCGGAAGTAGGAGTACCTGGTAGGAGTTTCTCCATACGATACACAAATGCGGGATAGTTTTTCCTAAAAATGCTCCCGACAGGCATTGCCCTCCTTCTTCAGTTCACGGAGTCAAGTCCGACTTCAACCTATGGGTGCTCCATCACAACAAAACTACCCCTATTTCCCCTCTTTCCATGAGACCACAAGGGTTCTTGTCTTGGCTAGATCTTCGGATTGGTCTTGTCTACCAAGTGGGAAAAGAAACAGCAACACATCGGTAAAACTTTTATCAGTAGCAGGAATAACGTATAAAGAATTTTTGTGGTGAATATAAAAAATATTACTACCTATAATATTTATTAAAACAAATTGAAGAACCTAAGACAATCAGCTTTTATTTTTAAAGCTATATTTATCAAACTTTAAAAGATGCATCCTTTCAAAATAAGACACGGAATGAATATTAAAAAAAAAAAAAAAAAAAAAATAGCATTTTAAATATTTTTATATCGGTTATTTAAAATAATTATATGATTAACTCAAAAATTAGTTAATAATCATTTGAAAAATTACAAATTACAATTATTTTAAAATTACAAATATATCAGATAAATTTACAACAAAGGAAAATTGATAAGGGGTGTAGTATTGTGGGCTGTGCATCTGTGTTGTAACTGGGCGTGGTTGGGTGAGACTTGAAACACACGTTTGAGAACTCACAGCTATTTACAAATTTTCACACTACAAAATACAATACAGAACTTACAATACAGAATTTAGATACAATTAGAAATATATATTTAAAAAATTTAAAGACTTGATTCGTGAAAAGACTCCACTTCTAATTCGACAAACCGATACTTAGATATGCGCGGGATGCGCGGAATATACTACCTTACCGCGTGAGAGTTTGTTACAGGGCTAAGTGTTACACATGGTTGTGTTAAATTTATTTTCTCCCAAGGGTGAGAACTTAAAAATAAACGTTTCTCAAGAGAAACTCGTTATTGCGCTGCATTAAACGTTTCTCAGCTGTAGCGCCGGTTGCGCTGTACTTTCTCTCGGGTGAGAGTCTCGAGGCCTACTGGCCATTTCTACTGAATGCCACAGTGGGCGCTATTGCAGTGCGTTGCAGGAAACACAGTTACAGCGGAAATTTCAATTTTCTATGAGAAGCCTTATATTCTATTAAAAATATAAGGGAATTAAATGGGTTTTTTTTTATTATAAAAAATTAAAATCTAGATTAAGTTTCATTTATAAATATTATCTTAAAAAAAAAAATCTGAAAAGCATTTGTGGACTTCAAACAAGTTTAATAATTGAAATAAAAGTATGCAATGTTTCAGTACATCCAAACCAATAATTTTATATTATTGAAGGGCTTATATATAATTTAATGTTGTTGTTACTATCCCACTTGGCTGTCCAAGCCCACGAGCCCATACGTACTCATGATTGAAGGGGAAGGAAGCAGCTTCTTTTCTGATGGAGCACCCGTAGGTAGAAGTCTGACTTTGGCTCCGTGGCGCTCTTACAGTCATAGGAGACCGGGACCTAAGGCTTAAAGTGGATTCCGAACCACTACAAACATCCATGGCACCTCCGGGATTCGAACCCGAAACCTGTGGCACCGAACGCCAAAGCGCTAGACACTCGCCCATTCAGGTCCCAAATTTGTGAATGCCAACGGCACGCGGTGTTCCCAGGTGGTCACCCACCCAAGTACTGACCGCGCCCAATGATGCTTGACTTCGGTGAACGTATAATTTAATACTTTATAAATATCATAGCCGCAAAAAAAACTTTCTAGAAAATAATGATATCTGTGAAATATAAAGTATGCGAATAAAAGATGGCTACCGTTTTGGTTTTCAATTTGAAGGTAACTAAACGTAAAACATCTGATTTCTGATACAAATCCCATTTGACGCAAAGTTAAAAACTCCCCAAAAAGGAAAAAATCGTACCATAAATGCAATTGAAAAGCATTCCAAAAATAGGTTCTGGAAAAGATGATTCGTTTTTTTTTTTTCATCTTCTAATGAGCGCGGTCTTTTGGATGATCGAATCCCCGACAGTCATTCAGACGCAGAGAGCCGAGATTTGGAAAAGGGTTTTGAGCTCTCTCTCCCAAAAATATCCTCTAATAAAAAGCTATTAAATCGAAGTTCTTGAGCTCGGTGAAGACACATTTTCCTTTTCGAAATAAAAAAAACACCGGTGAGCTGGAATTTAAATTTTACTACCATGGAATGGACGTTAATATCGAAGGAATTGAATAGACTCAAAATCAGTGATGATAAAATTCATATATACTATACTATAGTTTATTTTAATAGGGAATGTTAACATTAAAGAGAATTAATTGTCTCAATAATCAGTGATGATAAAATTCATATATATCGTAAGTTTATTTTAATAATGAAGATTAATATCAAAGAAACTAAATAGTCCCAAAAAATTAAAATTAAAAATATATATTATAATAAAGTTATAAAAATAATAAAATTATTATAATAAATAATTATATATTAATTAATAAATAATAAAAAAATAATAATAATTAATTAATAATATATTATTGATAATTATGTATTATTTTATTAATTTTATTTAATTATAATATATTATAATAAATCATAAATCATAACGAAATAATTCATATGTCTTATGCGTTAGTTTATTTTAATAGTGGAAGTCAATACCAGAGAAACTAAATAGTCTTAAAAATCAATGATGATAAAATTCATATATGTCATACGTTTATTTCAGTCAATGTTAATATTAAAGAGACTTAAATGGTTCTCAAATATCAATGATTATAATATTCATATATATTATACGATAGTTTATTTTAATAGTGAATGCTAATTTTAAAGAAAATAAATAGTTTCAAAAATGAGTGATGATAATATTTATATATATTATACGATAGTTTATTTTAATTGTGAATGTTAATATTAAAAGAAACTAAATAGTTTCAAAAAACAGTGATGCTAAAATTCATATATATTATTCGATAGTTTATTTTCATTCAGAAATGGGCTCTTTTTCAACTTTAATTTATATGATTGATGTTTTTATTTTATTTTATTTTATTTATGTATTTATTTATTGTTTTCATTTCGTATAGCGTTTTTTTAAATTGAGATATTATATATCTCAGTTTAAAGGAAATAAAATAAATTTGTATTAGATATCTATTATTTATAAGAGCCTAAACCACTTTATACATCATATTTTCGGTCTAATTTGGAATTAAGCGAAATGTATTATAAAAAATAATTTAAATAATTTTAGCAATTAATTAATTTTTTTACACGATTTTAATTTACTTTTAGACAACCTACTTAAAAACTAAGTAATAATTTATGATAAAACAATTCGCAGAATTTCGTAGAATTTTAAATAATTAAAAATTACTTTTTACAGAAAACCAATTTAATCGAAGTTTTTGAACTCAATAAAGACAAATTTTCAATTTAAAAATAAATAAAATACTGATTATTTAAAATTTAAATTTTTCAGCCAAGCAATGAATGTTGATTTTTAAAAAATAAAATATTCCCAAAAATCAGTAATGATAGAATTCATAAGTATTATTTGTCCAGATAGTTTATTTTCAATCAGAAATGGGCTCTTTCTCAAATTTAATTTATATGACGTATTTTCTTAAATAGTGAAGTGCATCCATCTTCAATTTATTTATTTTATATTTCAGTTTAAAAGAAATAAAATAAGTTTATATTACTTATCTATTTAGCTATGAAAATATCTAAATCTCTTTTATAGCATGTTTTTTTCAATCTAATTTGAGTTAAATATTTTTTATATTACATGTCCGGTCACCTATTTTTAGCTACTAGATATATTTTACACTATTATATTTCATTTACAGACAACTTATTCAAAGTCTAAGTTTAGAAAAATATTTTATACATAACTATTCGCAGAATTTCGTAGAATTTTGAATAGATGAAAATTAATTTTTTACAGAAGACTTGGAAATGAAAAAATAATTTAGGAATTATCTTTTCCTTCAATAAATAAAACATTTAAAATAAAAGCATTTAAAATTAAAAAAAAAAACATTAAACATTTAAAATAGGCTTTTTAAATAGTTATTTTTATCTGTGATATTTAGGAAAGTGCGTATCCATAATATTGGACTACTTTGAAAATACTTTTAATTGGATACATTTATTTATTCATTTATTATTATTTTTCATTTTTCTGTATAATGATATTGATTTTCAATTTTATTAGTATTCTTTAATTTTAATTTCATCATTTTTTGTTAATAACTAAACACAATCAATTAATAATTGATTTAATACACACTTCATTTTTTGGTAAGAAAATAATGAAATGTTTAATAAAAAACTCGAAAAAAAAATCTTTTTGTTCTTAACAACATTTTTTGAAAATAGAAATAAGTTTCCATTTACATAATATTGGAATACAATTTTGTTTGTTCTAAAAGTATATTTTGTAATGTAATATCTGAATTCATAAATCTATAATATACAACATCTAATAATAAAAAAGGGAATATATATATATAAGAATATACATATATATAATGCAAAATATCCATTTTCTAGACATTTTGTTGTAGAAATATATAAAAAATTTTACATTATATGACAAAATCTATAATGCTATTTGTTTCTTATTCTAAATGGAAAAATATATGCATGCAGTTATCTATGAACATTGGACAAAGTAAGTCATATTTACTATTTCCAGATAACTTGCAGGAATGTCTCTGTGTTCTGCTTCCTGTCACATTCAGGTTGATAGGCGCGCTTGTGTTCCTCTCAGTCGTTAAGCGTGGCAGATATGCAGTCTGAAAAGGAAACGATTTCCTATTTTACATCTTCATTTCCGCATTACGCACGTGGTTTGTGTGGTTATTTACAATTCGCATTCTGCTGTTTAGAGGAATGCATTGCACCATTAAAAAGGAATAAAATTCATTCGCAGTAACAGGAATTTCGTATATTGAATGTCAGCATTATTTCACTGATGATTGCGAAAATGGAAAATTATTCCTAAAAACTCCTAGGATTCTGTTTGCCCTTTTTTTGTTCATCTGCATGCATGCGTTTATTTTTTGTCAAATATGTAAAACATGATATTCGATATATATTCTGCGATTTTTAACTATTCCCCAGTAACTGTGTACTGAAATATTCATACTTTGCAGTCTATCTGTCTTTAAAGTTTTAATGTTGTGCTAGTTTTTGTCTCATTCTGTGCTCTAAAATGCTAAAAAGTTTAAAATACAAAAGGCATAATTGAAAAACCTAAATACGTAGTTGCTTTTAAACTATAACGTTTTCAATATTATTAAGAAAAAATATAAAATAAAATTAATGAATAAAAACACTTCTAGTAGTTATTTTCTCTTCAGGCCAACTGCATCCCTATCCTGCATGATATTCAGCTGTCAAGATGCGATGATTTGGAGGAAGACTTGAAATTAACGACATAATTTTTAAAAAGGCAATCATAACTTGTCTCTTTTTTTTTTTTTGTGTATGTGGCTTTGTAGGTTGGTGGTAAACATGTGATTATCTAAAGGGAGGAAGTGAAGATGAAGTTTTTATTTTTATAATAAAAACACTTCTTAGAAATAATATTGAAGCAGTTTTTAGATAGAGTATTTTGATAAAATAAATCTTATAACTTTAAAAAAAAGGGCATTTAGTTATGAACTAAAAATGTTACATTGAAAAACTGATATGTATAGACACTATTTGTATTCCTCACCCCAGAGTCGTTAAGCAGCAATTGTAGTCTGAAGGAAACGATTTTTTATTTTTTATATCTTCATTTGCACATTACCACGCATGGAGTTGTGTGGTTATTTACAATTCGCATTCTACTGTTTAGAGAAATGTATTGTATATTTCAGTGAATAAATTCATTAGTAATAATATGAATTTCATCTATTACAATGTTAGCATTATTTCACTGGTGATTGTGAAGAAGGGGAAATTATTCGTAAAAACAAAGAAATATGTTTCCTATTTCCTTTTTTTTTTCTCGCCAATGTATATATATGTGTTTAATTTATTCAAATTAGTAGAGACATGATAGACTCATTCAAGATGGTTACCAGTAACTATGTTGAAATATTCTTATGCAGAGAAAAACGATGTGAAATTTTTCTTTTTAGAATGTCTGTCTTTAAAATTTTAATGCTGTGCTATTTTTTTCGTCTCATCCTCTGCTCTGAAATGCTAAAGTTTAATATATAAAAAGAGGAATTTTAAAAATATAAATTGAGTAGCTGTCTAAAAATTATAATCACTTCATCATCCAGAAGAGAAATATAACATATAATGAATGCAGAAAACACTTTCAGCTTGATAGTTACTTTCTGCTCTACAGACCACCCACGTCCCACGCTATATTGTCTGTCTGGACCATATTAACGGATAAAAGGTGTTTTGGAAGAGGAAGACATGAAATTAGCGACATAACTGTTACTTTTAAAAGACTGTTATATTATAAATTATGTATTTTTTTTTTCGTTTTTCGTGTATGTATGCATTTTAATATATGGCTGGCAAACATATATCTGAAGAAAGGAAAGCTCAAATTTTATTTTTATAATAAAAAAACTTCTTTATGAATATTATTGAAGCCGTATTAGAAAAAAGGATTTTAAGAAAACAATGTTTATAATTTTTAAAGGGCCATTTATTAAAAAAAACTAAATTAACCATTTAAATTAATTAAAAATTTTACATCA